TGGCGTGGCTGATTGCCTTCTCTGAACCATCTGCGAAGCGGTGCAGAATTACCGTAGTCGGAAGCGTCGGCTGCAACAATGAGATCCAACTTTGGGTCGTCTTGTCTGAGCAGACGCGGTGATGCCAGGATATCTTCCAGCTTTTTCGAAAGCGTTCTGGCAATCTTGGGACCATTTGAACGGCACATTCTTCTTCAGTAGTGCGTCGAGCGGAGCACGAAGTTGACGCATTTCAGGGATGAAAGTTCCGTAGTAATTCAGCATTCCGAGGAAGGAACGGAGTTGTGCGATGTCGTTCGGTCGTGGCATTTTTGTGATGGCTTGAATCTTGTCAGGATCCGGGCGTCGACCATTTGCGTCGATGATGTTTCCGAGATATCGGATTTCCGGCATCATGAAGTGACATTTTTCTTCACGCACACGAAAACCATACTGCTTCAATTCGGCGTAGTAGAGCTTCCAAATTATGACGATGTTCGATTGTAGTTCGTCAGTTACAATAATGTCGTGTAATCCGTCGAGTCCTGTTATCATAGCATCAATAATTTGTTGGAATATACCTGGAGCTGACTTGACTCCAAACGGCAGGCGGTTGTAGCGAAATAGACCACGGTGCGTGTTGATAGTGAGTAGCTCCTTCGAATCTTCTTCCACTTCTATTTGTAGATAGGCGTCCGCCAGGTCGATCTGTGAAAATAGCTGGCCACCGTTGAGTTTTGTGAAGACTTCTTCGGTTGTGGGCAATGGGTGCTGATGGAGTGACAATGAGTCATTCAATCCAGTAGAAAAATCGGCGCATAGTCGAATACTGCCATTGCTTTTCTTCACTACTACAATTGGTGCTGCCCAGTTTGAATGATCGACGGCTGTGAGGACTCCTTCTTGAAGTAGACGATCGATTTCAGCATTGACGGCTGGCTGAGAGGCGAACGGTACGGGTCGCTTCTGACGGTAAACTGGTTGGGCGTCCGGCTTCAGGAATAGTTTTGCTTTTGTTTTAGTACAGCGTCCGAGTCCTGGAGCGAATACATTTGCGAATCGTGTCCTCAAGTGAGCAACAAGCTCGTGACGGTTGTTGTCGAGTGCTACAGCTGCTTGTCGGCAGTTATACTGATCCTTGAGCTGACGGTAATCTGGCATCTGAATACACCATTCCAATCCTAGGAGATCGGTTGCTTCTGTGACGTAACAATTTCCTCGTCCGGATACAGGATGATGATGGCGATCGAAAATTGTAAAGTCGGCTTCGAAGCATCCTTGGATATTCATTGGTGAACCATCAGCGGTTTTCACTGTTGTGATGCCTGGACTCAGGGCAGGAGACCCAATTTTGTTCCATGTTTTGCGAGAGATCATTGTGATATCTGCGCCAGTGTCGAGCTGTAGACGAGCGGGGTGTCCATTTATATGCACTTTCATATACGTTCGTGCATCTTGTGCAGCAACGGCGACATTCTTGCATCGAAACTTTCGCCTCGAAGATGTAGCTCTTGTCTTTCT